ATCCTCCAGGGGAAAATTAGTACTTTCCACTTTGCTAAATGAGTATACTTTCCTCCCTGTGCGAATGTATTGTTTGTTTCATGGGCAATTTCCTTATGTAAATAAATGTTATATAAAGAACTCCAAACCAGTTCTAAGTAAAACATTCAGTTTTATGTTGATTTCAGAGAGCAAATTATACCACAATTACTTGCCTTTTCTTAGGGGCAAGCTCAGAATTCTGTATAACTTGATTTATTCATCCATTGCCCTTTATCAAGATAAGAGTCGGTACAGTCATTGGAATAACTGCTCTGTCTGTTTGCAAGAATTAGGCAAAAAACACCAAAGATATCCCTTTTTGTTTAACTGCATGAGTACACACTGTTAAGCAATAGGCCTCACACATGCAACAACCATGAAAGCTCTATCAAAGTTAGTTGGCTGACATGTTTTTCGCCCCCTGGCTATTTTGAGCATTCAACATCCAAATAAAAGAGAGGTATAAATCGGGTATGGTCCGTGTTTCAGGCCTTCATATAAACCTTAAGCAACAACTGTGGACCTTAACCACCTCTGATCCAAGCAATGGGAAACATTTATTTTCTGATTTTTAAATACATTCTAAGATTTTTATTTTTTTTAGGGATATCTATTGTCTAATACTACTGTCATCTACTATTTCCCCTGTTACTGGATACATGCTGGATAGCTCACCAGTCCATCACACTCCGTCATTGGGTGGACTTAAAGTAATCAACTACCAAACATTCCTATGTTTGGATGGTGAGAGGAAAATGTACCCAGAGGGAACCCACACAGACTATTTTTGGCATTGTGAGTCTTTTTAATATTTTATCTGAAATGCTACAGTTCCTTTTGATTTATACTATGTGCTGTCATTGTATAACGGATGCTGTATTTATTTATTTGATCATATATAGATTTATACTTTTTTTTTTCTTTCATATGTATATATATATTATTAATACTTATTTACTTTCTCATAGAAATAAGGCTTTATCCCCAGAAGGAAAAATATACTATTCAATTATGCCTCTGTTGTTCATACTTTGTTCTTTTTGAACAAAATTAGGGAAGCATACATTTCTCCATGTTTGCAGATGTCATGTGCGACTTGGTCAATAAGAGAAGTGACACCGCAATGCTGTTGGCAACTGCAGTGTTATCTGTCCTGCCAGTTCTCCATCACAACAATGTGGACATCTTTACCACTGAAAATTCCAGCTTTATTCACCATGGATGCATAAGCCCCAATCACAACGTTCTGCAACATTAAAAGTACTATAATGGGAAAAGCAGTATTATTTAAAATTGTTGTGATTATTGTGATAAGTGCAGTGATAACTTTCTGTCTCTTTTTTTCATAATTTCCAGTCTCATATATTTTGACATGTTGTGACACCTCCTAAATTGAATGTATTTAATTAACAGTTATTGACTTGATTTGTGGACCTGTTCTGTCAATCTTTCCTCAAAGTTAAGAAATGGGAAAACTTCAGACAGTCACAGAAAGCAAAATTATTTGCTTTGGCTCTGTCCAAGCTTGTGCTTAAACAAACCATAGGTAGTATAGACAAGTGTACTAAAAAGATAGATTTTTTAACTTTATTTTATAATAAAATTAGTCATTTTTAATTTCAGATTTGGTATATATAGTTAAAATAAAAAAACTGTACAGTTGATTATCTACAATGTAGCAATCTTTTTGTATACAAACAAGTTGTTCAGGTAATGGAGTAGCACTTAGGCCAATTATTGAAAAAAAATCAATTACATTAAACTATTTCAAATTTATGTAAACTAGACTTTTGAAGAAAGCTCTATTGCTCAGTGTATTTAGTTTATTTTAGAAATGTTATCGTAATTAGTAAATTTTTTCAGTATAATTAATTTAGATGTTTAACTGAACAACAGACTTGGATGCATGTCTACAAGAAATTCAATAGAACCCTATTCTTTAAGAAGCTTGGGTACATCACTGTTTGGTAAGATGTTGCAGTTATCTCCCAAGTCTGGGTTAAATAGTGCATTTTTCTCTGCTCCAAACTCATGGAGGTGGAGCATTAAAACATGTGACTTGAAAAACAACAAAAAAATTATTACGAGAACTGGCTGTGCATTGAGGACTACTTTCAAGTCCCCATGGATGATATCTCAAAGACAAATACTGGAAATGTTCTCATCCTAATGGACAACAATGCAGAAAATCTGTAAAAAAGAAAATCCAGAAGAAACAATAAATTACTAGCAGTCAATAGTTTCTTCAATTGTGCCGCAGTGCAAACAGTCAAGAAAGTTAATCCAGCCCCTATTAATAACCACTTGTAAAGACATTAACTGCAAGGAGAGTGGAATTTTCATTTAAATACATGGGCTTTCTTCTTTCTTTTCATTTTTGGTTTTGATATAACAACTGCTTGATTGTTGAAACAATGTGGTTTCTTTTTGCCATCAAAATTGTTTTCAGTTCAGTTAATTTTCTGTTAACCAGTTCAGTGTTCAAGTGTTCAAAAGAAAAAGAAAAAATGCCAATAAAAAAGTTCCCACCCAGTTTTTTCATGTGCAATAAATAGAGCATGCATGAATTTAAGAGAAAAAAAAACTGTTGCATTTCATAGACTTGGGTAATATGTTTGATCAGCAAATACTGAACCATCTAATTCAAATGAGTTCTGATGTATATAGCACATCTGGTTTCTGCTCTCGGAAAAAAACTTTTTTTGAAAACCTAATGTCCAGACACATACTATGTACACTTAAAGAATTAAAAGTTTGAGCACAATTTTCTGCTACATTTCAAGAAAAATGTTTTATGTGTCAAAAATGTGATCAACAATCCATAAGCATGATCAGACAGTTCTTTACCCTCCTGAGATTCTACGTCCTCTGTAAAAACATTTGATATTTGCCTGTCTGCAACTCTGACCAATTGGCCTCATAGTAGACTCTATCAGATACTCATGTTTGAATTATGAAATAAAACGGTTTTACACATTTTCAGCCAATCATTTCTTTATTGTGTAAATAGAATTTTTAAATTAAATAATTTGGACATTCAGAACCAATCCTTCTAATCCAATGTATCTTGGAAAAGGCAGATAGGCAGACTAAATAAAGCTTCGGCCTCAAAGTGCACATGACAAACACTCATCCCATCACAGTATAAGGTATGTTTTATGACAGTGAAAGTATATTTATTGCATCCAAACACTTTATTCAGTTATGTTTATTATTTCTTCGTTCTTCATGTACATGAGTGGAGTGCTTTATTTTTTGTCCAGTGTTAACAAGGACTTTGCTTTTTACTGCAAACTACATGTCCACATATAGCGTCATAGTGTACGTTGCACTTCCGATCAACATAAGGGAAATGGAAACAACCCCTAAGACTTGTAACCCTAATTAAGTGATACAATCTCAGTAATCCTGTTTTTTCTTTTGCTCAGGGACTAAGTAATATCACAGCAGTTTTTTCAGGATATGGTACATTTTTCTATTCAGATACAATGTTTGTAATTTTCTGAATATGTTCCTTCTTTGAGTCAACAAAAATTAGTAGTCTCAGTAAAGAAAGGGTTTCTTCTCTGTTATTTTTATAAACTACTTTCTCCAATAACTTTGCAGAATCTGGTTGGTTGAGCTAAGAAAATCTTCCAAAAGTATCCCTCATAATTCTTACCAATGTTTATCTAACTCATAATTTTCAGAGACTGATTAAGTCTAAATACAGATAAACGTATGATACGAAAAGGCGTTCAGTCAGGGAAATACATCTCAGTGATCAACTAATATTTTGCCATTTTCTGTGAGATCATGTTGTGTTTATACCAAAAACAGGGTATGCTTTAAGCTGAGCCCCCATGCATTTAAAACATTTAGCTTTGTGCTTCTCATGTGGAAAGCAGCTAAAAAAAATAAAATAAAAAAACTCTTTCATTCCTAATGCAATAATCTTAGAGGTTGCCTGCTGGGTCTGATTTTCCGATTTGCTCAGTATTTTGGCCCCTGTTGTACCCTAAAGTAAACTATCTTGTACCCTCCTACCCCTCCTTCCTCTAAGCATTTATCCCCATGTCAGCCTCACCATTACACACTTGCACCTACAGCAGACTTATTTCGGTTCCCAGTGGGTGTGGGGAATTCAAATGCCCTGACTCAGAGATTTAAAATGTCCTTTAAAACCTATTCAATGCTGTAAGGACTTGTTGTATTTTTCCAGTGTGAGCCTACAAGGTCAGTTTGCATCAACATCTGATGAGCGATCAATAGAAGATTTGAATTTTAAGAACCATGGCCCTGGGAGCGGTCAGTCACCAGTGCATGGTGTTGCCAGATGAGGGTGGAGGTGTGTCTGGAGTAAGCCTTGGGGCTCAACTGAGACCTATATCCTTCTATCCACCCTCTATCCCCTCCTTCCACTCCACCTCCACGAGCTTGGCTAACTCTCAAGACCATGATTAATTCATGGTGGATTACAGTCTGGAGGCCAGGGAGAAAACTGGGATTGCATATAGTCCAAACTGCACACACAGAGTTGAGGAGATAAGAGTTTGTTTGGATTTGTGCCACAATTCCTCATCTAGAATGGGTTCTCCACAAGTATGGATAATTTTTCCATCCTTCCTTCAAAAGAACGCGCCTCAATGTTCTGGCTTTTTGATTATCACTTCAGCTATGTTCACCAAACTAAGTAAGGAGACTGCACTGCCAGAGAAGAATGCTGTTTCCAAAAATGTAATTGTAGCCTGATAAAAGCATGACAAGTAGCAAAGCTGCAGTCACAGCAATTTCATCATTGTCCTTCAAAGTTGCGGCTAATACTTACTTGACAAATCTTGAGAAAGGAAACAATGAGAGTGTGCGGGACTTGTGGAAAAGTAGCGATGAGAAGAACCGAAATAATTTACACTGCATAAGTTGTGAATTCACTCCCCCTTGTGTCAACCGCCGCAAGCTGGTCAACAAAATGACTCCACAGCCAGGGGGAAAAGAAGATTATTTTTTTTGTTCCAACCCTTGTTTAATTTGTCTTTGAAGTGTTCAGTGGAATCGTAAAAAGAGAACATTTCCAACTAGACAATAAAAGATTAGCCAAACAAACATGACACTGCAAAGCTGGATTGTATAGCATGTTCATGTATGAATATTTCGACCTGACAATGTGGCTTCTCTTATTCTGTATCTTTTCATTTTTAACACCAAATACTATGTTAATTGTTTCTGTCGCTTTTGAATCCTTCTAATCTAACTTAACAAAATGTAAATGGACAGTTAGAGCTGGAAAAGCCTACATTTTGACGTAAAGGAGGCTGTCCTTAAAGGTCGGTTTTAAAGCTCACTGCTGTAAGTTACATTTGATTGACACTGTTGCTTCAGTGTGACTTCAAATATATTTAGAATATATCTTTAGAGTGTAGAATAGTAGCTTCAAAAAATATCTTAGAAAATACATCTGTATATTTTGTTGTTTTATTAGAAACACATTTTTTCAACATGTTGGATTTATACAGTGAATGGTCTAATATGCACTGGAGGTCACATGAGCTTAGGTTTATTGGAACAATAAAAGACATACCATCAGGGGCTTGATGTTCAAGAAGATATGGCAGCTAATAGCTGCATAGTTGACCATCCGTTTTAATTGTTGTAATTTTTCTTCTTTGAAGACACAAAAATAAAACCTAAGCATGTTATATTAACTATTTTATTTATTCATCGTGAGTAGACTAAAAAAGAATTAGAAGTCAATTACTGCTTTAAACATGTACAGCTTCTCTCACACATACTGTGATAATGGTGCAAAGCACTGTAACAGTATTTGTGCTATTTTTTCAAAATTGGCAAATGTCTACTTTACTTATGTTTTTATCATTTTTAACCTTTTCTGTAAACAACATATTGTACAAACTAGCACAGTGAACCACAACCCCAGCAAATGTGTTTTTATCTCCATACAATATAAATGAAATCAATACAAAAGTTTGGTTGGTTGCTTGGAACATTTTTATCTGGATCAAGAGATTTTAAAACATAGTTTTCGAGACTTATGGACTCCTGAATTAAATAGGTTACGTAAACAGTTGACTGTACTAAGTCCCAGAACCCCAGTAGAAGATTTTTAGAAGGTAGACTTCATTTCAACAATTCAAGTTCACTTCCATTACAAATAAAGGGTTTGCAATCCATAGATGTTTTTTTTTTCTGGCCTGCCTTTTGAAGGCGGCCATCTTGTAATGTAACTTCTGAAACCAAAACCAATAGATAGTCCACGTGGAGATTAAAATAGTTATGTCCTCTGCCTTTTCCCAGTGTGAAAAGGGTTAAATGTCAGTATGGCTGAGCCTTGGTAGGCAAGGAGCTGAGGAGCTTCTAAATTAATGTAGACATTTCTAGTGCCTCTGATACAGTCTGCGTTACGCTCAGCCTTCCTACAGTGCCAGGTCAGGACATAACAAAATGACTCTCAGTCCTTTAATATATCTTTAAAGCTATTGAAGTCTTTAACAGTAGCAAGTGATGCTTTAGTGTTTGGAACATTGTATAAGAGGTTCAGAGAGGGATGCTTTTTTTGTTTGTTTTGTTTTGTTTTGTTTCTTTCACACAGCAGTACGTGTTACAGGTTTGGTGGCACTGGTGCGCCACTGACAAGAATCAGCAGGGGCGACAGGGTGTCTTCTTCAGTACAAATAGAGGATGAATGGAATCAGTCTCACCCAGTTCGTTTTTCCTTTTCTCTGCCTTATTACTTCATCTCTTTCTTTTGAAAGTCCAGTTTGTGAATGTAACTTCCATAAAAGGTTCAAAGCAATGGAAAAACCCACAAACACAATACTCAAGACAATGTATTTGAGCATATTTGTTATGCCAAAAGGGCATTTAAAAGAGATCAATCAACAAAAATGAGACAATGCAAAGATAAATAAATAAATATGAAGAACAAAAATTATCTATATGGCGCCGCCCTGACCCTGTCGATTTCCTTGTACCTGTCCTGGACACCAGACCCAAACACCACCAGACCTTGCCATCATCCATTGCTGAATCTCTGGACAGTAAAGTCCCCTCTGCCAGAAAGTTACCACACAGTACCCTCATTTATTTCTGAGGGTTGGTGAGACAGGTGGTTGTTGTATCCAGTGCCATTCAGTGACAGTGAGGTAAAGGGCGGACTAGGACCGAACACTTCAGAGGAGATGCTGTGCAAGGGCCCCGGGATGCCAGGTTCTGGGCTTGGAGAGTCCCCTGGATGATGGGACATGATATCAGAGAAGCGTTGTACCTCGCTGGATGGGTGGTGGCCCGGTAGAGGGTGGTCCATACCTCCAAGGGGTGTGCCCGTGGGGCCTGAGGAGGGCACAAATGGGAGATCGACTGGGGTCTGGGCTTGTGATGACGGAGGCCCTTGAGGAAAAAAATCATAGTTCCCACCTGGACCATAGTACTCACTTTGATAATCTGCAGATCCAAAAGAAGAAAAAGAAGAAATCAGTATTAGGTAAGGCTGAGAACAATGAGTGTGTAGAAAAATAACAGGGATGTGGAGGGATTTATTGAATGTATAAAAAGTTTGATTTGCATTACGGAGGGAGAATATTAGAGACCCATACCATGCTACATTTGTCACAGAGCGTGTTACACTTAAATCAAAACTACAATTGGGTGGGGAGAACAACTTGGTCACAATATTAATGAAAATGAGGCCCATTCCATCAGCGGTTCTACCTACTGAGACTGAGCTTTTTTTTCATTTCAGAAGAATAATATGGTCCTTTTGCTTCAACAGAAAGTACATAAGCTCAAACATAAATTAAATCCTCTGAAAGTGATCTAGCATTAACAGCATTTTGAGAAATAGTGGCATTGCCATTAAATAACTCGATTGCCAATTAACTTTACATAAAGTAAACCTGACTATCTGAACCTGAGGATAATGCAAACAAAACGTCTTAGATTTGAGTTACTGCTATTTAAAAAGATATATAACTCAAATGTACTGACGATCAAAATATGTTCGTAAATTAAAGCACATTAGCACAGTGCTTTTCAGTGTCAAATACAGCTAACTCACTTTTGACGAAGACAGCAGAAAATACCATCAGAAGATGAATGAAAAGCAAATTGGATTTTGAAATAGGCCTATATTGTTTTATGACGTGTTAAACATGGCATGGGACATCGGCATCACACTGTGGTTTCATTTAACAATTAAAAATCAAGAAAGTATTTTGGACTAAAGTCAAATACATACAGATCTATTAAACAAAGCAAAAGTATCCCTACCTCCATAGTAGGAGAAAGGCCCGTTGGGGATGAGCTCCCCGGGCTCCAATCGGTCCACTAGCGTCCTCATCCGCCTCGGGCTCCGAAAAAACGCATGCCTCCGGGCTCCCAGGGCGCTCAGTTGCTTCATACGCCTCTCTTTGGAACGTCTGTTCTGGAACCAGACCTAAATAGACAAAGGCATTTGTTTATCTTGGTCTATCAACAAGCATTACGCTATATTTTATTGTTGGCTATGTCAATATTTATTTCAAGTGGCAGCAAAAAAAAAAAGGAAGAGATAGGATAGGGTTGGTCATGAATTAATACCCCAAAAACAAACAGGAAAATGTGTTACATGAGTAAACGTTATTTTATAAATGATCTTTAATTTATAGGAAAGAGTAAGTAAATAATACATTTACATAGTACTTCAATGATTGCGCTACGTATGTACTTTTCGGCACCATAATTTAAATCAGTAAGAGTGCACCCAATCATGGTCACAAAAGTTGCAGTCACGTTTCACCTCCTTAATGATCTTTTTTTTAACCCTCCATTTACTCCAGCGAACGATTACAGCTGCAAAGGTCTTAAAATCTCCAATTATTAGTTAATATGGGGGGTTGTAACTAGGATATTACCGGGCTCTTACGGTTATCATTTCCTAATCTACAGACCAGTTTTCTTTAATTATGACCTCTTCCCCCACATGACCACCCCAATCCCTTAGATAACCCACATCCACCTTACACTATCACCTTATCAAGAATAACTTGGAATGCCAAACCTTTTCAGCTCTGATACACCAAACAAACTTAGATAGAATTTTTAAAACCAAATAAAAAGATCATAATAATTATTATAATAATGATGATGATATGTGATTATTGCAATTAATAAATTCAATAAGAAATCAAATAGACAATACTAAGTACTAAAGGTCTATTTTCCAATACTTTAAGGAAAACCTTTTGATGAGTAATAAATTCCTTTCTTGGAAAAATAATTTCGTGGAAGAAATAGTTTAAATGGACAAAAGTATGCCCCCAAAATAAAATGATTATCATGATCAATAATAATAATAATGATAATAATAATAATAATCATCATCATCATCATTATCATCATCATCATCATCGTCGTCGTTGTCGTCGTCATCATCGTTGTTCCTCAAAATTGGTAAAGATTTGTAATTCAGAGTTCCAGATCTAAAGAACATCCTTAAAACAGATTTTGCCTTTACACTTGGCTGGAAAAGCTCACAGCATGGCTAAATGTGGTCGCAAAACGTGATGGCAGCGCTGTGCCAGGACTCCCAGCGCTCCCAGCAGCCGGCGCCAGTTGGCGACTTAGCCCCGTGGCGCACGCCAAGAATCAAAAATAACCATATAAATTACCCGCTTCCAAATGAATCTCAGTCGTCGGCCAATCTTTGGTTTAATGAATTCAATGTGACCGTGCAGTTTAAGGGGGAGGGGGGTGATCAGGTTGTGGGTGGGGGGTTCTTTAAAGAGGGGTGAAGAATGGGAGGTGCATCTTCCCCGATGGGATAAGGCCCGCACTATCATCACAGTCTGGCAGCTTGGCAAGGGGAACCTCTCCATAAAATATAATCTGTTACATCACACCTTTAATGGGTGCTAACACCCTATATAATAGAAAAGGCGCGAGCTCACCACAACTTTACCTACTGATGTCCCCTAAATTCCATTTCCATAATATTTTGATTAATTTCAGACAAGTTGACGACACAGTTTTGGCGATTTTCCACAGAAACATGTTAAAGTCGGATATGTAGTCTAATCTGTGTAACAGTTTCTAAAGCGATCGCATGTCGTCTGTGTGATCTCTGGACCCAGCTTTGGCAGTTGAGCAGTGGAGGCTATTTTACCTGGATGACCCTCATGTTGAGGCCAGTCTCTTGGGCCAGCTGCTCCCGGATGTGTCTGGTGGGTTTGGGGGTGGCGGCAAACGCCGCCTTGAGCGTCTCCAGCTGCTTGGCTTTGATGGTGGTCCGCGGGCCACGTCGCTTCCCTCCCAGGTTCTGGTCGTCGTTCTCGTTGTTGACAGTTTCCTTGTCGGACAAGGCGGCTATCTCCGTGTCCTTTAAGACAACGTCGTCCTGGAGCTGGTCTTGAGAGTCCGGTGACAAGCTGGGATCGCTGCATGCCGTTACTGTAGAAATGATTATATGAACAACTAGGGTCACCCAAACAATTATAGGATTATTGAAAGGTTCAACTAATCACACCCAACCTAGAACAGCCATCACAGTGGACTGTCAGTACTGAGTAGAGGATGACGTTCTTTACGCCTGACATTTATCTAATTTATCTACAGATTTGACTTCTCAAATGTAGGACTTTAAATTTGTTTAAATTTCCCTTTAACTTTTTTTGTAAGAAAAGAAGAAATAAAAAAATATATAAAGATAGCATTCTATTCACAAATTAGATAAGTCGGCTTTATATTAGCTGAAAGTATGATTTCTCATCGTTGCCAAAAATTACACTCTAGACTAGATTAAGAACAACACAAAAATAGATTTAGGGTAGGCCTAGACGAAATTCCAAATGAAGAGTTCAGGGATGAGACATTAAAGGAGACTAATTTGCAATTAATGAATGATGTCAACAATGGAATGGGCTGTGTTTTTTTGTTGATTTCTTTCCCCCCGTGGATTGCTGTCTAATTCCTGTCATGAACATAAAGAAGCTACCGTGAAGCTGAACTCATCACATTCCTCCCAATTCACCGTTTCATTTCACACATACAAACACACAATATGGGCTGCGGCTACCACCATACCTGAAAGGAGATTTGTGTCTTTTACACTGGCGTTGCTTAGATAATCGTCTTTGCAAACGAATTTGTTCTCGTCTATGATGTACAGCTCCTCCCCGGTGGAGAGCTGCTTATTGCACATCATACAGGTGAAGCAGTTGAGGTGAAAAACCTTGCTCCGGGCCCTTCGGACAAGGTCGTTTGGAGAGATTCCCTGGGAGCAACCGCCACACTTGGTGCCGAACCGCCTGCGGGAGGGAAATGAGTTGCGGTTACCACTGCTGAACTCATTGTACATTATTAAGCATTTTAATGACGGCGGCCAAAACATTCTCATGTTTACTGCTACAGCGTAGACGGACTCTTAAAATAGCATTATTTCTAATTAGAAATTGATATTATATATAGATAAAAACACGATAGAGATTAAGTCATTAATAATATGGTAATGGACTGTTTGTACATTTTGCATTAGTTTTAGTTTGGTCAATAGATAAAACATACACATTTTTAAGTACGAAAGTAATTTCAAGAATATATAGAATTCTCACACACCATGGCATTTAAATAATAAAAATCGAACAGTATAATAAGTATAGTTTTCTTCCTATTTTGCATAGATTAAAGACATTAAATTTGACAATGATTGAAAAGTGAAGATGACAATTAACTTTGTATCAAGTATATTACTATTAGGCCACCACTTGTACAGCAGCAGCAAATATCTATAATAGTAATAATGATAGTGGATTTTGGTAGCTGATTTTTTTCAGTCTAAAACATGTTTATTTTTAGCAGGTATAATACGAGTTTTTTATTCCCTTTTCACATATATGTGCATCTACATTTTATTTAATAGCCTGTTTTACATTAAGCATGATGGTTTTTTTAGTTCTTTGGTCCACCAGTCTAGCTGTAAAATGATAAACGAGAGCCCTAAAACTTGTTTTACTTTACACAATGTGTATTGAGTGATGTGCACTCCTTTGTTGCCTGCACGTCTGTGATTGTATTGTCGGCAGACTTTTCAACTAGTTTAGTATTCAAATCCACTTATCAAGTCCTCCTCAGCGAGACTAAGCAAACAAACCGGACAGCGTCTACTTCAGCCGGGTTTTGATCCTGTGCGCTCCCCTGACTGCCTGCTCGCTGTTAAAAAAAATACACCCAAGTGTGATTTCCTCGATCTCTTAACTAGCCGTCCTCCTTTCACACCTCACCTTGCTGCGATCAAGCACACACGTGTTTAATTTAGCTTCTCCTCTTTTGTTGTTGTTTTGCATAGAAGTCCAAATTAACAAGCTTTTAATTACTTAATGGTAATCAGAGCCCATCGCCTTCAGGTCCTCTTTTACGCCTGAAGGTAAGAATAGTTTATTTATTCAATCAACTGGGGGAATATGTGTACTGGAGGAACCTCACTTGTATGCTTCAACAGATGTTTTAATTTACAGTTTTTTCCCAATGAGGTGTTTTGTTAAACTCAATTTTGCTTGCCTTTGCAGTAACTTTAAAAGCAGTTTACTTTTTATAAAGCGTTTTGTTCGGCTACCTGATTATTAATAATCAATCAAGTTGTAAGATTCATAAAACAATCAGCCAAATCTGTTTTAAATTTATAGATGTAAAAGGGAAATTTTGTTTGCTTCCATTTAGTTTAAAGTGGTCGAAGCTTCACCTTTGGCTATATCTTGATTCAAGTACGATTCTTCATACAATTTCCATCATGCATCCGATTCCTTTTTACCTGCAGCTTCAACACTCCGCACAATGAACAGTCACATTACAAATAAAAACAGAGTTGATGAGTTTTTTTCTGCAACCTTACTCCAGCTTACCTAAAAAAATCATTTTTGCAGTACAGTCTTCCTTCTCGAGAAAAACATTTTTCTGTCAAATTACATTTGCACTCGCAACACTGCACACACTTGACATGCCAGGCTCTGTCCAACACGTTTAGTAGAAAGCGGTCCAGGATAGGCCTCTCACAGCCGGCGCAGTGGACCATGGCTTTGATTGGGCTACAATCCCGACAAATGAAACGCGCAAAAACAGAATCAAACGCACAGGCCGAGCATTGACCGGGTATCTGCGTTCTCCGTCCCTGATTCGCCTAGAGCTCCCGGGTCAATGTGAGCGTGGGTGTCAGTCGATCAGGTGTCACCACTTATTTCTCCCCACATGCGTAAAGAACTGAGGGAGAGGGCTTCAGTCCGAAAAATTGAAGAAGAAAAAAAGACAAAAAGGAAGGGGGATAAAAAAAGAGGATGGTAACCAGTCTCACTGATGAAAAGCCCCAAATGGGTAATCAGTCCTTCAATGGGTCCGAGACGAAATTGAAAGAATATTCAGAATTCAAAACAAGCTCCGTGAAGAGTGGAGCCAGTTTTGTTGTCCCAGCGTTCTTGGAAGTGACGAGTCGGTCAAGAAGAGGAGCGCCGTGTGCGAGACGTCTAATACAAATATTTTAGATCAGAGCTCTCACACGGCAAGACATACACGCCTATAAATAACTCGTTGCAACTCTAACATGGCAGCATATCCATATCCACTGTTTAAAGACCTTGCGAAAATCAAAATCACACCCAAAAATGTTTTCCCTTCTGGATTTATCGGATGATCCTGAATATTTGGCTTGTGATCACGAGGGATGACGGGACGTGCTGGCGGGTCCAGTAGTGATATGTGTGAGGTGGGATGCCCCTCAGTCTCCAGTACAATGCGTGTGCGGGGATGCGCTGGGTTTCCAGTTCACTGTCTTGCTCCTAAACCTCCAACCCAACCTTATTCCCATCCTCCTGACGTCAGGTCGTAGCCTGACCAATCAGCACCACGCCATGCCAGCAATCACCAAGCCGCCCCATCATAACCCAGCGAGTACTCTGCTTGCTATTTATGCCACACACTCAAGACACCAATTGTCAAGAATTTCCCTGCAAACTGTCATATGTAGTCTAAGTGCGTGTATTCCGTGGATCAGCGACGGCGGACGAGGAGCACAATTGGAGAAACGCTACTTTGCAGCTGCTGAACAAATGGTCTACTGGGCATGAGGGACACTGGAACAAGAAATCGGATCAGGTAGATAAAGAGACTTCTTCTATAGATACATAGGTTTGTGAGCATGGTGCCCTCCCTGTTTATTTGCGTAAACATGTTTTACGCATGAAACATTCGACTCGAATGAATTAGCTTTAGATGAACAAACACAATCTTAAACGTCTGCTTTGTGCCGGAAACCTTCATGCATTTGGACCCTGGACATTTTTGGTTGCATAATGGGAGGCTAGATGTTATTTACATTTATTCAGTAGAACTTTTGCCGTTCTGTTTGCAGCAGTAGCACGGTCCATCCGTTTTCTCTTTGGTGTGATAGAGATGAAGAGTAGAAGTGAAAGAGGGGAACGCTCTTAAGTTGACAGCTCGTGCAGCTCACGGTCTCGCGGCCCAGACACCTCAAACCATTCATTAGAGTAGCCCAATCCACTTTGAGCCCACCTTTCAAAAAACACTATAAGCCGAACTACTTGGAGCATTAGTCATTTGCCATAAAATAGAATAACTCCAGCATTTGTAATCATTCACAGCCCCAAAGTTTATACTCACCTATTTGTTGCCCATAGGAAAACAGAGTGCTCATTGGTAAAGGTTTTAATTTTTGTTAAACATATTTAGTTTTCTTACATTTTCCGTCCACGAAAATCGTTTGCTAAGAGTTTGGGGGAATTAATTTCTTAAATGCTTACTCTCACACTCGGTTTTCCTTGCCGCTTGCTTGACAATATAAGAGTAATAAAGCAATAAAAGCTATTATGCATTTTATTTCAAGGAACAAACATTACATGCCAAAGCCACAAGAATCCTTTTGCATATGGGCTGCTTGTCCCGCCCGTTCTTGTCCAGCTGCCGCCCTCCCGGCGTCTGGGGAGCTCCCCTCCAGCAGCATATGTGTTACAGGCTTTAAAGAAGGGAAAGATAAGGATTCCATAGATGCACATTGCGCACGGACCACCCCCCCCCCCCGCCCCCCTTCCACTCCCATCTCTTTCCTGGTTTTCCCTTTTCATCCTCTCCTCCAATTTTGATTATGACTTTCCCTCAATTTTCCACGCATCTTCTATGTCTGTCTACATTTAAGCGTCTTTGGAAGGGAGGGGGGGGGGGGCATTGAGAGAGGGGTCATTGGGCTCTGTGACAGTTGAGCATTCTGTTCTCCAAAAAGCCACATGCCAGGAATAGAAACGAGCATGTGCCAGTTGGACTATAACGTTCTTTTTACTTCAAGCCTTACAAAATCGCTCCGGCATCTGACAAAAACTTACCCAAATACTGCCCTGACGCCGTCCACTGCACAAACTGAAAGCAGCATGTAAATAGAAAAAAGTTGTTGTTATTTTGTGGAGAAGATGCCTTGATAGTGTGTCAGTGGGACTAATAGCTGATTTACAATGAGGCATGTAGAGAGAAGAAAAAGACAGCTCACGGAGGCAGATTAATCTATGAATAGAGAGAAATAGAATATAGGCAATAGGCTTAAGAATACATGAACTTCCCTCCAGGAAAATACACAAGTAAATGCAAAAAGAAAAAAGTAAGTTATAAACCACGCCACTAATCCTGTAGAAATAGATCTGTTTAATTCTACCGCTGATGGGAGTTGTGAATTGACTGGGCTCAAATAAGGAATCACACACACACACACAGACACACACACTTTTTTGTTGTCTTTCTTTAAGTGACCGGTGAATACCTAAAGTGATCAATTTTTCAAATGACACATGGAAAATTTTATTTGACAGTCGATTGCATTCACATTTCATATATTCTTTCTATTCTTTCCGCCCTCCAAAAGCCTAATTCTGTGCACTGTAAGTCATAATACTATGACTAAGAAAAGAGGTATTCTAGTGTCGGGGCGATGGTGTTATGAAGCAGCCCAGGAGCTTTGGGGTTTATGAAGTGCAGACAAGTGAACTAGTACACAGCAAGATAATTAATCTGCGATAATGAATGAGGCTGTGAGGATGCATGCAATCATTAATTCTAATCATGACACGTTTATTTGTCTCCCCTCTCCTCTCCAGGCTCAGTTTAGAGACACGGTGTCACCACAACAATGCATGGGACGCGGCTAGAGGAAAGAGAGGACTCCGGAATAAAGTCTCAATCTCGAATCGAGCAGGTGATTAGAAGGTCTGGGAAGGAGTGGGGGGTGGATGGGTTGAAATATGGAAAAGAGATGCTGAGGCCAGGGTGACCGTGACCGTGATAGCCGGACTATGCGACCTTACAGCCGGGGCCAGGCAGCCTGCAGAGGGTGACTGCAGTAATACAGAGAGAAATATCACCCGCGACTGGAGCTTTGATCAACTTGTACAGCGGGGAGAAGGAAGAGGAAGGTGGGGTACCGGTCTGCTGTTCAGTATTATTATGTCAAGTTTAAGTTTTGTTTTTAAGTACTTCAAAACAAGCGCTGAAATTAATAGCTCCAATTGGTATTCACTGATCACTCTGACACAGATATTAATCTGTTTACAATAAAAGTTATTCAACTTTTGTAAAACTGGCTTATTTGTATAATTTTCCCTTCTGTCATCTCTCCCAGAAAACTCCAACACGTGAAGTTGTTGCAAGGTGCAGCAGTTGGAGCCAACAAATATCCATGACTGGATTTTGGTGTTAACTTTTTTTGTGCAGAGAGGCTAAACGCCGTTTCCCATCAAATTTGATGATTTCACAAAACAGAAAAACAATATGCAAATTCACTCCTGTCACGAGCTGTGAAGGTCCGGAGCCCACAGCGAGCTGTTTGAACCGAGCACGAGCACGTCCCCCCGTTCTTTTGACACAAACCGTGTTCGGGGCACATTTGATACCAACTTTATGCTGAGCTGGATATACTGGTGGGAATGGTAGGTGTACTATATGGTCTGCCCAACTCGGTAATCATTATCCACCATATTACCGCCCGCCCCCAAGACTGAAATACTTTTTTTTAATACCATTTATCCATCCGAACATGCTAAAACAGAAAAAAAGATCCGTCAGAAACTGCTATTTTAGCGGTCAAGCGCATATTATTTCGGAGGACCGCAGCGCTGCAAAAATCAACGGGCTGAGCTGATCAACCCCCCCAACCCCCAACCCCCTGTCCCCCACCCCACCACCACTGTGCGGCCACCCAGCTCACTCCGTGCACCGGCAGTCAAGTATAATCCGATGTGAACCCGGCGTGTATTATTGAACCACGCAGCAACTCTATGCAAACATTTTTATTCCAGACTCTCCTAACTCCGGTTCATCCTGTGCTGGGAAAAATCCATTGGGATTTATAGATCATCTCCCTACAGCTGTCCTTTTTCAGTCGGTCAACTGCCCTCCTCCCTTCTTCCCACTAACCTCCCGCTTCAGTGGCTACACACCATCCTCTCACCCGCCAATATTCAGATGATTGATCAGACCCCCACAATCCACAGCTATGGCCATCGCTTGTCTTGTGATGCAATACTTTGATTCAGTAATTTGGGGGCTCGGGGGTCCAGAACAGTTACCGTTCTGGACAACGGGATCAACACGTCTCTAATAAGTATAGCCTAAATTTATTTCTGGTGTAGAAAAGAGCGCCGTTTGATAATTAAAGCCATTGTTCTCAGTGAATGTATTTATCTATTTCGTGTTGTTTTCAAATGCAGAGTACAAGAATCATCTCACCACCCGTCTGCATAATTATTGTGGGAACAACGGCATCAGTGGGTATATTTCATAGAAATTTTAATTTGTTTGGGACTTGTCCAAATTAAGTTTGGAGGACAATTCAAATGTAGTTTAATATAAGCTACCCTGAGTGTTGGAACGTTTATTAATTATATTAAAATATAAGTAGCTATTCCAAAAAAACGACAACACGAATTGTCCCAACAGTCTTTAAAATGGGTCCCCGTTTTTGAAAAGTCCGTTTCAAAACAGAAAACATATCTATATAAATATCAATACAATTTGGGAAACGGAGTAGAGAAATCGCAATGCCAGCTGTTTTAATATGTATACAACGATTAATAATATATATAAAAAAACTCTTACAATCTAAAAACTAGATTGGATTGTACGCCCACTGCGGATCTGAACAGAAACTATATCATTTTGCATTAAAAAAGAAAGAAAGAAAGAAAGAAAGAAAGAAAGAAAGAAAGAAAGAAA